GCCCCACCACATTTCTTGTTTCCTGTACCTGTTTGACGATGGGAGGACTTAACTTCCTGCTCCAGCCACCTCTGCTCCCATGACTCCCTGCCATGATGGACTCTTATGCCTCTGGAACCAAAAGCCCAATAAACTCTTCCTTCTTTAAGTTGCTCTGGTCATGGTGCTTTATATCACAGTAACAGAAAAGCAACTAACACACAATGCTGGAATGAAAGAGACAAATGCACTATGTAGAGTAGGCTTCATTGTTGACCTTGCAACTTCTGAACTGCTTCAACATTACAACGGCAAACAACATTAGCAAACCCCACAAGGCAACCACTAGAAAAGCAAGCAATCTAAAGTGGGCTTTGTAAAGTAATATGGATTAGAAGCTGCCTCCCGGTACTCTGTGAACGAGAAGAGTGAAGGTGTGATTGTGTGTGTGTGTGTGTTTGAGACAGGGTCTTCCTGTAGTCCCAGCATACATGAACTCACTATGTAGACCAGGCTGGCCTTGAACTCACAGTGATCTACCTGCCTCTGCCTCTGGGACTAAAGGCGTGCACCACCATGCCCGGCTGTTTGTTTTTTAACTTTACTTTTATCATATTACTATTGTGTGTGCATGGTGGGAAGGGGATATGTGTATGCCACAGAGCTTAATCAGAGGTCAGAGGACAACTCTGTTTAGTTGATTCTCTCCTTCCACTTTTATGTGGGTTCTGGGTATCCAGCTTAGGTTGTCAGGCTTGCAACTGCAAGCAGCTTTACCAACCGAGCCATCTTGCCATCCACATGATGATTTATCTCGATTGTCAACTTGCTTGGAGCTAGTGTCAACTAAAAGACTGACATCTGGGTAGGTCTTTAAGGGCATTTCTAGAAAGGACTGAGGGGAGAAGACCCTCCCCAGAGTGAGTGTCACTTTCTGACAGGGGTCCAGATATAAAGAGGTGTGGTAATGGTGAAAAAGGCGTAAAAGCATATGTACTGTACAAAGCAAACAGTGCTGGTTGCTTGCCTTTGCTGATTGTTGGTGAGTCTATCTCTGCTGCTGCTGCCATTCTTTGCTGATATCAGAATTCAGTTTCATTGGGTTCCAATGTGGACTGAAGACCACTGACTCTCCAGGAATCTTTCAGGCCTTCAGCATCAAAATGGGACTTCTGAGTCCTCCAGCTTCATGGACTGAGCAGCTACCAGGTTCACAATCTCTCCAGCATGCAGACAGCCATTGCTGGATACAAAATCCCTCATTGATAAGCCATTCTAAGATCTCCTTTATAATATGTATACATTTTGCCAGTTCTCTAGACACCCTAACTAATACAGACTATTGTGCCAAGAGTGGTTCTAAAGAAACAGAACTGTAAAGATGAATTTCTTTGGAGGACTTGGTGGTATCCAGACCTGGCTCTCTCAACTAAATCTTAAAGACTCCTGGAGATTATGGATACTCATGTTTTTTTGTTTGTTTGTTTTCAGTCTTTTTGAGACAGGGTCTCCCTGTATGTAGTCCCAGGTTGCCTGGAACTCACTATGTAAACCAGACCAAGGAATTTAGTGACTCTATATATAAAAATTTTGAACATTTTTGGAAAGTAATAAAATCATGTTGAATTCTTGTTTCTAACGTCTATGGATAGAATAACAAAACAGAAGAATGAGCTCAGAGATGAAATTTCCCAGCTCCAGATACATATAAACAATACAAAGTCATCTAAGTATGTCCTGAGAGAGAACCTTCTATCTGCAGCCATCAGGCTCAAGCTGTCAGAACCACACCAAAGCCTTTATCTGACTGATTTACATTACAAGCCTGGAAAAGTGTCACGTAGTTAAAAGGACAGGCCTGATCAGAAACTAAGTGTGAGCCTGTAACAAGGGATGGAAGTGTATGGGATGATCCAGATGAGGCTGGGACTCATGGAACTTCTAGGTTTTGATAAGTTTATTTTGCCTGAAGAAGCTGATTCCCCAGACTTAGTAATAAATACACCCCACTCCCACCACATAGAGTATACCTCTTATTCTTCCATAATGGAATTACTCCTGTATTGTGTGGTCTCAGCAATGACATTCCTGAAGAGATGCTAAGCAAGATAATGCAGATGCATCTCAGTCCCAACTTTCATCATCCATCTTTGCCTCTACACCTGTAACCAGACCCAAGGATCATGATGTATCTAAGAATGAGACAGAGTATGGCCCATGAAGACATCTGCATTACCCTGGAAGTACTTCTTGAATATTCTAATTGATACAAGCAGAACTCTGGGGAATGTGTGGAATTTTAAAGATGTGAGATAATGGTGACAGGAGCATAAATCCACATCAGGCTGAGATTATCAATATGGATCTACTGAGTAGAGCTTTTCTCTGTATGCCAGACCTTATAGTGGGAGTTTCATCTATCCAATTGAATAATAAAAATGCAATGGGTCTAAATGGACACTGAAGTAGTAAGGACCAAGTGACAGCAATGAATTGCCAAAGGCAAGGTAAACGTAGTTGCTTAGTGGACATCATAGTGTTCGTAATGATTTGACTCATACATTTCTTTGGCACTAGCTAATCAATCATATTGTTCCCAAAAGTGAAATACACAAGGAGCCCATGAGTTCTTGCTTAGACTATATAAACAGAAACATTTCTGGAGCAAATGAACTAGTCTACCTTGAATCACAGAAACAGAAAATCACACACCCGCCCCTCCCGCCAACTAAATTTCTGTCTTGAGCAGGTTTATAGATCCTGAACTGAACCCTTCAAATGAAGGGTAGGCTAGGTCCCATGAAGGAAGCACCTTGCTACAAAGCTCACATTTTACTATTAATCCTCTCTCATCCCTCCCCAAAGAGATATAAGGACTTTTAGTTGCATAACTGTATATTGTGAAAAAGAAAGTAATCACAACTTTTGGAATATACTTGAAAGTGGCTCTCAATTGACACTTATCCCAAGACCCCAAATAGCATTGTGGCCCTCCAGTTAAAAGTAGAGGCTTATGGAGATCAGGTGATCAATTGGGGTTATTTTTTAATTGAATTTTTTAATTCTCTGAAATGTTGATATTCACACACACACACAGTACCCTGATCAAATCCATTCCCTTTTGCCTCCCCAATCCCCCCGAACCACTCCCATCGCATCTCTCTCCCAACTTCATATCCTTCTTTATAAATTATGCTTTTAACTCACCAAGTCCAATTAGTGCTGTGAATATGTGAATGGGTGTGGGGTCATCCACAGGGGGCATGGGGAACTTACCAGTAGACACACCCCCAGAGAAAAGAGATTCTCCCTCCCCCAGCAGCCATCAGCTACCAATAGCTCCTCAACTGGGGGGCCTCACAAGCCCCTCCTCTTCCATGCTGTAATTGTTAGCTGGCTTGATCTTGTGCAAGTAACCAAAGCTGCTGTGAGTTCGTGTGTGCAACAGCCATGTCCTGTCCAGGGGATAGCATTTCACATCTCTCCAGCTCTCCTCCCCATCCTCTGACTCTTACATTCCTTCTGGACCCTCTTCTAAGAGGGTCCCTAAGTCTTGGGGGGGAGGCATTGAGAGTTGTCCCATCTATGACTGAATACTCAGAGTTTCTTATTACTACTTTCACAGTAGTGAGTCTCTGCATTAACCACTACCCACTGCAATAGGAGCTCCAAGTGCAGAGAGGCCCCCCCGTATCATAGGAATAAGGCTATCATCAAGAAAACCGCAATAACAAAGAGTAACAAGAATACAGCAGAAAAGTACCCTTACACACTGCTGGGGAAAATGCAAACTATCCTGATTGGTAGGAAGTATGGAGGGTCTTCAAAAAGCTATTAGCTCTACTACTCCTAAATATATACCTAAGGGAATCTAAGCACACCAGAGGTGCACACATAGTCCATGTTTATAGCATTATTCACAATAGCCAAGTTGTGGATTCAGCCCAAATATTGTTTATCCACAGATGAGTGGGTAAATAACATGTCACACACACACACACACACACACACACACACACACACACAAAATGGAGAAATTATCATTTAGGTGGAACTGGAAATCACTGTGTTAAGTAAAATGAGCCAGATTCAGAATTTTCATTTAAATATATTATATACATGACATGAAAGTAGGAGGCTATTTGGAAGGCAAGAAGGAGGCTACTGGGGGGAGACAAGACAGATTCATAGGAAGAAGAGCAGGAGCAAACTATGTGATATGCATGTATTAAATATCATAATGAAACTCATTATTTTGTATGTTAATTAAAAAAAGTAATAAGCTAAAAATAAGAGTAGGCTTTAGAGAACATGAAGAGGACCGATAAAATAACTGAAGTGCAGTCTCCTGACACTCAGCTCACCTCAAGGCAGCAGAGCTTGCTGGACTTGAACAGCCAGGGCTGCAGGGCTGCCACCAGGACCCCCTTCTCTTGGAGTTGTCACTTCTTCCAGCTGGTCTTCTGAGGGCTTCACCGTATCATCTCCTATACCTGGTTATGACTCCTACCAGCACCACCAAGTCAGATGTTTCTCTCCAGGATCCTCTCCTGCGGACCTTGATGCTACAGCAACTGTTGCCAGGGCTTTCTCTAGGCTACTTTACTGCCCATAGCTTTACCCTTGGTATTCTTCCACCAAAAATCCCTTCCCTTGACTAACCTACAAGTTGCCCATTGGTCAGTAAGATCCAGTTTGGAAGTCTTTGAATACTCCTCTAACACTCAATGCAGATCCATTTATTGGGTCTATTATTACAATGACTAGTTTGTGTGTCTGGATTCCAATACTAAATTATCACAGATGATCAAATATATATATATATATATCTGGATGATTTCAAACTAGATTTTTCTACTACGTGAATGACGACAGTCTTAGCCATTTCCTTCTCACAGGGCTGCTGGGAAGACGAAATGAAATCAAGCTATAAACTATGGCCTCAGAAGGCTCTCTTAATGCCACAGGATGGCCTCAGGCACCAAACATCACCCCCAACGCAATTCATAATAGCACTCTCATTCAATTTACTCAACCATGTTTAATTGTAAGAAGAGAACCTAAAAGTGAACTGTCGGTATGACCAAACTCTGGCCCCACCTTGGCGGTATTGCTGCCTCCCGTCTACTTCTCTGGGCGACAGAGCTTCTGGATCTCCTCGGCCAGCCCCAGGCAGTGCAGGATGCGCTTCTTTTCAGCAGCAAGTTCCTGCTCAGAGACCTGGCCCAAGAGCTTCTGAACAAATATATTCTGATCTTTCAGAAAAATGTTCTTATTGACTCCTACATTTGGCACATTCTCCAGGGATCCAGATTTGAAATGGAAGCTTAAGTATCTGTTTCGTTTTAAACCAGGTCCTTTCTCTTCAATCCAGGACAGCAGACTGCAAAGACAAAAACAATTCCTAATGTTAAAAATCAAACAGGATAGGGCTAGGGAGATGGCTCAGTGGATAAAGAGCTTGTGGCACATGCACGAGGACCAGAGTTCAGATTCCCAGGACCCACATAAAAGCCAAGCCAGTAATGTGGCCCACAGGTAATCTCAGAGTGCAAGGGGAGGGGGATCCCTGGGGCAAGCTGGCTAGCTAGACTAGCAGGATCAGTGAGTTCTGGGTTTGACTAGGGACCCTGCCTCAGTGAATAAAGTGGAAAGTGATCAAGGAAGAGGAAGACACTGAACTTCAACCTCTGGCTTCCATAGACATGCACATACATGTGCCCACACATATGTGCAAACAAATATACACACATGTCACAAACACATACATACACAGGAAAAGAAAAGGAATTACACAGGAAGGCAAATGAGTACTTGCTTGTGCCTGACTTATATTATATATATATATAATTATATATATATAATTTGGGGGGGGGTCTTTTTGAGACAGGGTTTCCCTGTAGCCCCAGTTGTTCTGGATTCACTATGGAGACCAGGCTGGCCTTGAACTCACAGAGATCTGCCTGCCTCTGCCTCCCAAGTGCTGGGATTAAAGGCGTATGCCACCATACCCGGCCTCAAAGAATATTCTTAAAGACTACATGCCAGAGATTACCCTCTAGTTGTCAAGGGAGTATATATATATCCACTTCAGCCTTTGGACTCATGTCATGACTCATAAAACCTAAAACTCTCTAAACAGTGTAGTATCTGTCAAAGGGTTTCCCCTCAATCTAATATCGGGCCCTCACCCTTCCCAATCCAGCAGTTCAGGGAGTGATTTCCACGTTCAGATTGACAGACTGACTTCACTCACATGTCTCCCATAAGACAAACTAAATATTTCCTGGTACTGGTTGACTCCTTTGGTTGAGTGAAGGCCTTTCTCACCTCCAAAAAGTATGTCTCTACTCTGACCTCTAGCTTATTCAAGGAGCTCATCCCTTGTTTGGTCTCCCTCCAATGTGACAATGGCCCTGAAATTGCTTCCCAGATAACCTAATCAATTTGCCAGGCTCTCAATATTTCCTGGAACTTCCACATTCCTTACCAGCCCCAGTCCTCTGGAAAAGTACAATCAATTAATGGAATCTTAAAAGCCACCCTAACCCTTCTCTCTCCAGCTACAGAAAAACGATCTCACTTCCATCTGTAATAGTCCTCAAACTGTGCACTCCCTCCAAGCCTTTCCTGTTCAGCCCTTTCAAGCTGATATATGGGCACACCCTTTCAGCCATACCTCCAACAAATCTGACTTCACCAGAAGGCCCTTCTCCTCTACTGACTATAACCCTCTACTTAATTACTTTGAACCCTCCTATCTGCAAACTTCCATGCTCCCATTCCCCATCCTGCTGTAGTAGACTCTCCCCTGTTTCTCCTACCGGGGATCTCACCTTTATCTGCTCTCTGGGCAACCCTCTTAAACCCACATGAAGTCACCCTAACCATTCCTACCACAGCCAAACTTCAGGCCCCCACAATGGTACCATTTCTCCTCCCTAAAAAAGACTTCTGCAGACCCTGGGGACCCTGATACATGATTACTAAATATTTTTCTGCTCCCCTCAATAAGGCTTACCTGCACCTGGGAAGACAAGGAAACCTGATGGCATCCTCTCCTAAGCCCCACCTAACCTTGCCCCTGTTCTCTCTTCTCTCCATCCTCTTGGTACAAGGGCCCAGGTCCTTCCTTGCAACCTTGGCTGGATTGCCTTCCTCATCACCAACCTCCTGAACTGGGATAATTCTTCCCTCTCCTCCTTGTGTTGAGTCTACCTTCACCTGCCTCAGGTGAAAGACCAAGCCTACTTGATCCCCATAGCTGTCTGGCTCTCCCCAACAATGGGACTCCATGCCAGCCAAGACACTCCTGAAATTGAATACACATGTGGGGATGGCTGGACAAAGGAGAAAACTTTCATAAACAGGTAACCATAATTAATTTCCAGATGTCTCTTAGCTACTTAAAACCCTCTCAATGTCTCTTCAGGGAGCCATACCAAAAGGCCCTTCACCTGGCCTACCAAGCCCCTCATTGCCTTCTACAGACCACCATTCCGCGTCTCCTCACCCATCAACCACCTCCACTTCACTATCTACAATCTCACTTGCCCAAGACAAGATGCTGCTGACTGTCATATATAGATTATACTATCCTAAGACACAAAAGTTCAGCAGGGACAAAATATAGTTCAGCACATTTTCTATACTGAAAAATGATTTAGATTAATTTGTGGGTGCTTAATATCAGCACATAAATCAAAACTTCCTATTTATGTCAAACAACAGTTAAATACAGTAAAACTAAAAACCAAAAAACTTTGGCTACAATTCAAATTTTTAAAAATTAATGATTACCACAAATTGTATAAAAAAACCTGATAGAACTTCTTTCAAAAATTAGTTCCCATGAATATTTTGCAAAGCTTACAGAACAAGCTGGATGTGGTAGTAATTCTGAAGTATGAAACTCTCCAGTTTGAGGCCAGCCTG